ACTATTAAATAAAATGCAATATGGAAAAAGCTTTGGAAGTGACTATTTTTGAATATTTTTTGTGCATTACATCTACTGTGTAAAACTGTCCAACATGTGTGGGATTTTTTAGTTTTTTATGCTGTTTGATGTGGTTTACTTCTTTTGATTTTTTTATTTATTGCAAACTCACAAAAAGCCATATTTGACTTGTCTGTCTGCCTGTCTAGCAACATAACTCAAAATGTTATACAATGTTATAATGTTTACATGTGCTGGAGCTGTTTTATACCGGTTTTTTGATTACTCATTGGTCATTAAAAATATAATGAGACTTCACTTTGTCATTTCATGTGTTAGAATGTGAAATAATGTTTTATTTTAAATATCTATTTAAACAAGTATAAAGGGTAAACAATGCATTCCTCTTGTAACTCCTTACGCTACTACCAGAGCAGTTAATTTTCTCTTTTGTATATTCCAAATGTGATGTGTAAATTCACGTGATCAACTGCCGAAACAAATTTATGGACAATACTTTTTTTTTTAAAGGCAGAAAAAGGGGCAGAGTGACATGTATTTTTTTTCCCAGATGTTCCTGATATTAGCGAAAGGATCTGAAAACAACTCCAGGTCTGTTTTTGATGAGGACACAATGCTGTAACACGCTAAAAATATATCAAAAAAGCTGATTTTGCTTTTGAACAATTTAAATGTTTGATGAAATGTGTTTTTTGTCTGTATCCCTGGTAGATTTTATCCCCAGAACATTGATCAATAGTTTCATTTAACGTTCAAAAACAAATTGTAGCTTTTTCGACAATCTGCATTTCAGGCGGATCTTCCTCAAAACACTGCAGCAAAACATGTGGATTGGAATTGTAACAGTTTCGTCTTTTCCTTTTGACACATGGCTACATTTACACCCAATGACCTCTAAATCCATTCATATAAAAACACTCTTTCTCCATTGCTTTCAGCTCCCCAAAACCTGTGACAACTTCTCAAGTCTTACCAATCATATTTACTCACACAAATAACTTGTTCCGACTCATTTTTGACCTCACTCTCCGCACACGGCTTAGGAAATCACTTTGAGATGGGATAACAACAGGATTTATTGGCGTAGAAGCACTCGGCACGGGCAACAGGACAAAGCCCATTTAAGATATGATGACATCGTTTAAAATGACTGCCATGAATTATACAGCAAACAAAAAAAGATCCCAAAAATGTATTCAACCGTCTTTTTTTTTTTTTTTTTTTTAAAGCGAGAAGGGTGAGGAGAAAGGGTTGAGGGTTTAGGGTTAACAGAAGAAATGCATTATGTTTTTTAATCAAACTGAGTGCACAAGGGAAACGCTGAGCAGAGAATAAACGCAGAGTCTTAATATTATGGGAGTAGTACGTGGAAGGAGGGTGACAAGTACACATCATACCTGCACAGTGGAAGCTAAATTAAATTAATTTGAAAAAATGAATTATTTTGCAAATGTGGTTTTATCTTGGATTGCGTTTTTGGATAAATGGACTTTTATTAACTATAGATATTCGCCATACTGCTCCCGATATGGACCAATGGCTCTTACGTGTTTGCTTTTATTGTATTCACTGGGTTCGACCTGTTTTATTCAACCAAACGTTGTTGGTGAATCGGAAACTTTGCTGTGATGATTTAGGGCTATACAGAAATGAGTCTGAATTAATGGAATTGGATACTTGTACGTTTTGAGACTAATGAGGGGTTAGCAGACAGGAGCAGCACAGATGGCATTCACATTTTTGACATATCATATTGTAAAGTGTTCTCCAATTTTATAAATAATAGTTAATTTAGTGAAGAGTTAAAACACAGGTAATTTTTTTTTCTTTTTAACAGTTGTCAATTAATAAAGTGAGAATTCTATTATACATGTAGATTCACCACACATAGATTATTATATGTACTTTGGCATATTTCTTCCCATATGCTTTGTTGGCTGATACGTTTTGGGGATAAGTAAGGTCTATTGACAAATGATGTAAGTCAGTAAGAAATATTTTAATGTTGTGATCGATAGGCATTGAAATACATTTATTTGTGGTTAGCCCTAAATCCCAACAGTCCATAAGTGCCCGAGATCATCACCATTTTCCTCAGACACTCGAACCTTGTTTTTTAAAATCAATTGTTGTTATTTGAAGCTTTCTGAAGACAATCTAGACCACATTGGGTAACCACAAAAAAAAGGGCCGAACATTTTCACAAGCTGATTCCAATGGCGCTTAAATGTAAATGTTAAAGTTACTGTATATTCACTTCTGTAATGTTGATAAAACCGCTACACAAACATCATCAAATCACTTGTTCTAAACGAAGTTGGTTTTATTATTTAATATTGGTAAAAGTGCCAATGCATCTGGCTCCTGTTTGAAATGTTGACTTAATTCTTCATCTGCGTATTTCTGTTTGTCCAAGCCTGTACCACTGTAAGAACATTTTCAAGAGAATCACATTCACAAAATATTAGTTTTTAATGTACAAGGAAACCCAGCCCAAGCATAAGTCAAAATTGTTAGAGAAATCACACAATAGAGATATGCTCACTATAGGTTTTTTTATATAATTGTTTTGGGAATATCTAACATGTTGTTGAAAAAAAAATTAATGTCAACTACAAAGCAGTGTTTATCATATTCAAAAATTCATATATTTTTTTAAGTAACAGGTGAAACTCAGAACATTTGTCCAAAAGTCCATTTACTTCTGTGACTTATCTTAAGTAAGTAATGTTTATTTATATAGTGCATTTTACAGACCAAGTTCACCCAAAAAGCTTTACAATTGTTGAGCGTTCAGATATTTTCCATTCACACACACACACACACACACACACACACACACTCACACTCACACACATGCGCTGATGACTTAAGAGAGACGCCGAACACAGTGGTGCATCAAAGCCCCCAACCAACACCATCCATTCACTCACTCACTACATTCTGACCTAATGTACATGTTTTTAGTGGTAGGGGAAACCGGAGCACCAGGAGAAAACCAACTAGTGAACAACATACTCATTACTCACAAGTTGAAATATATCAAGCCTTTATTTTTTATGATATTTTTGTAATATATTAGACTTGTATTGATATCTTATTAATTATTGTGGACATTTTGTATACACATTTTTATTTGGACAGTTTTTTGTCCCCTTAATCACAGCTGCAAAAATGCCAAATAAAACATCTGTTGGGTTATGTAACCATATGATCTTAAATGTTTGAAAATGGTGTGCCATAATCCAAGCCATAATCCCTCAAATTACAACAAACCATTGCTTGGCATACAGTATGTCACTGTGCAGGTATACCATATATTTATTTCACATTTCAAGCAAAATCACAGAAACAAATGAACTTGAGAACGATATTTTAATATTCTTCTGAGTTTCACTTGCGCTCCATCAGTTTATAATGTAATATGAATCAAACACCAAATAATCCACATATCAAGGATCGCTTTAATGTTGTTGAGTTATGGACAATTTGCTTAAAAATGATCTTATTTTCTTTAATTAAATCACTATATTTTTTTAACATAAGCGCAAACAAACAAAAATACAGCATGGACACATTGTATATCATATTGTACTGTTTATATACCATTGGCAGGCTTTGCATGTTGGGGTTAAATCAACAAATGAATCTATGACATCCACTGCTTGAAAAAGAAACAACCAAAAACTGGATCATTTCTAACTCCTCCCAGTGGCCTGGTGCGGCATTACAACTCCACCCCCCTCAGCCTTTCATTCTCCCTAATAGTTGTTTATGAACCTATGTTTGCAGTAGCTACTTACATAATTAAAGGATCACAGCACGACCCACTTTGCCTCCTGCCATGTGTCTCCCAGAACCATCCACCAAATAGAAATGCTGCGCAGATTTAACCAAACATGTGTGAGATGAACCAGCTTGAGTCTAAAATCTGCCGAAAATAACAAGGTGCTTCACTGATTATCAACTTATTGCCCTCGCCCCCTCTCTCTTGGTCTCTGTAGCTCCAGACTGTGCCTGACTGCCAACAGCGCACCAGAACAGACAATGTGCCAACACACAAGTTTCCGTTGCTTCAAAACCTCTTGTGTTGTTTTGATTGAAGACTTTGCTTTTATTAAGAAGGCTATACCAGACGCATAATCACTATACATTGATTTAACATTACCTTTTACAATTAAATTCGTCACTGAAATTACAGAATAAATATATTCACATTTTTCTTCAAATCTTTGTGAGAGAAAACATTAAAAGTGCCTCCTACAAAGCCGTTAGTGGGTGACGATGGGGAATGCAGAAGCAAATGGGAAAGGGGTCTTAACAAAGTGCATGGGAATCCAGAAAACCTTGAGTGTTGCCTTATAATAGTATTCACAAATGTTTTACCATCCGTGTGTCGGCGCGTCCTTGTAGCACCCTGATATAGACACAAGTCTTTGTTAAGAGTAATAATCATATTAATAAGATATAAAAATTAAATAGAACACAGAAGTGTAAATGCGTCGCAGTAGCTGTCCGTATGTGACGTGGTAGTCCTTGGTAATCTCCCAGGAGCCAGAGCATGCAGCACACTGCAGTTTGTTTCAACATGTTCCCCTTTCCTCACTGTGTCGGCTACATCCACATCAGGGCAACACTCAAACACCCATCACCAAGTCAAGGAGACGTCCTGCTCCTGTGCGTCTGGTGTCACTCCACACAACGCTTGCACTACCCCTCTTATACATATGTGGCTCTCACTGGAGCATATAGAGATATTCATATACTGTATTAGAAAAATAATGGTTGTTGACATTGCTGGCTACTCTGAAAAAAGGCACTTCATTGAAATATCTGAGAATGGCCTCTCCACCAAAGAAATTTGGGGGGAAACTTGTAACTGTAATACAATTATTCATTTATTATCATGCTGCTTTTTTTTATTTTGGATCATTTCTTTAGATGGTGGAAAAGTTGTTTTTTTCCTTGGGCTAAACATGTTAAAACCGGTACGATTTTTCCAAGACTTCGAGGTAATCCGGCTTGGTCTGAAGTTTGGCCCTTAACTCGAGGTAATCGCTTTGGGACGGATCGGGGTAGCAGCCTTTCCCCGCCGTAAAAAGCAACGTCTCCTTCAGTCGTGCATCCTGTTGTAAGTCTGGGTACTGCATGCCTGGAGGGTGTGCATGTGCCACATGCATGTCCTTTAGTTTGGGCACAGTCCCATACAGACAGTCTACAAAGCCAACTGTGGGAGTGGGCCTTTGACTGTCAATGACAGTGGGGCACAGCCCTCCGTTCTCGTGGAAGCTTGCCATGTCAGCAGTGCTGTGGTTCACTGTGACTATGGTGTTGAGCTGAGAGTTGGACACGGCCAAGGTCCACTCTCTCTCTTTCTCTAATAAGGTTCTGTAATTGTTGCTACTGCTGCCACTGTCTTTCTTCTCTGTAAACTGCCGGCCCTCCTCTGCTATCTCCCCCTCGCGGGGTTTGTAGATGGGGTTGTTGCACATCTGAGTGACCGGGTGGGGGATGTAGTCATAAACATGCCCATGGGCATGAGAGTGACTGCTGTGACTGTGCAATGTTGGTGTGGGTTTTTCAGGTGTGGCAATGTTTCCAGAACTGCTTGGTCTTGGCGAATCCTCAAAAATCCGACATTGCATTTGAATCCCTGTCAGATCCACCTCTGAACGCTTCCTAAAGGGCAGATTCTTCCTGCGGCGAAGAACAAAAGCAAAAAGTCCAGCAGCCACAAACACAGCAGAGATGAAAAGAATGAGCAGGCTGAGGATAAGGACAGACAGCGGCACAGCTCCCCTTGCTCTTGCCTCTCCCATGTCAGAGTCCCCGCCACTTAGATTGTCCCCAGGCAGAGCGGGAGAAGGCCCAGAGAGTTTAAGCTCTGGGCACAGGACCCCCACCTCCAGTGAGCGCAGGTCCTTGCCTACAGCGAAATCTGGAGTTTTGCAGATGACGTCACCAACCACAATAACAGAGGACAGCTTCTCCACCCACTGCTTTAGTGGGATTATGTCACAGGAGCAATCCCAGGGGTTCTGGTGCAAGTCGATTTGAACGAGAGAGGTCAGGTGCTCCAAAACCCCACGCACAGGGAGGGATGGGAAGTAGTTGTTGCGAAGGTTAAGACGTGCAAGGTTGGTGCCAGCAAAAACATCAGCGGGGAGGGTACGGAGCACGTTGTCATTAAGAAAAACCAGCTGGAGGGAGGGCATTAGGGAGAACGAGTTTGGCTGGATCTCACGGATGACATTATACTCAAAATAAAGATAACTCAACATATGGAGGCCCCTAAACATCCCTGGTGTTAGTCTATCAATGTCATTCCCATTCAAATATAAACTTTTCAAATTTGGCAGGTTGATAAAGGCCCCTTCTTGGACATAAGATATCCGATTATTCCCCAAATGCAATAAATCCAAGCTTGAGAAGTTCCAAAAATCGGAACGGTAAATTTTCTGGATTAGATTCCCACTTAGATATAATTTCTTGGCATTTAGTGGCCTGGGGAGAAGCTCTGAGATATTGTGAAAGCCTTTGTCTTTGCAGTTCACGGTTAGCCCCAAGTCATTGATGTGCAGATTGCAAATGCATCCCGAAGGGCATATGATTGGAATGGGGGGTCTGGTTTGGTAGCCGGCTACTGGAGGTTGGTTCAAGCCGGGGTAGATGCTACGAGGGGTGGGCGGATTCCTTGTGGCTTTGGGGGGTCGCCTGGTGGGCTTGGTGGTGCGACCCAGGTATTCCACAGAGGACGCTGTGATGTGGGACGAGGACAGCATGGAGGAGGGTTTTGTGGGCCATGTGTTTTCGTTGCTGAAGTGGATGCGCGGAATCCCTAGCATGACTTCAATCTCTGCGTCCGACAACAACGGACAGAGCTTGTTTCGCTTGATCTCTCGCAAGTCTTTTCCATGTAGGTGGAACGGGTATTCGCACGTGATCTCGCCCACCAACGCAGTGTAGGGAATCCTCTCTAGCCACGTTTTCAGCTGAACTATCTCACACACGCAGTTCCATGGATTTTCCTCCAGCTGAATTTCCATCAAACTCCGCCCAATGTACTCCAGCATGCCCTTATACGGTAACGTCTTTAGCCTGTTCCCTCTCAAGTCCAGATGCGTGAGTGAAACGGAGCGGAACAGGTAGTTGGGCAGCACCGGAATCAGATTGTCATTGAGAATCAGCACCCTCAGTTTGTGGAGGTGTCTAAACGCTCCACTCTCAATCCGTTTGATGACATTGTAGTCCGCTTGGAGATATTCTAGGCTTTCTAACCCAAGAAAAGTGTCATTCCGGAAAACCTCCAGCTTGTTCTCATGTAAAAATAGCCGTTTGAGTATTCCTAAGCCATTGAAAGCGCCAGCATGTATATCTTGCAATGCGTTGTTACCCAGATTTATGGATATGGCATTATTCAGATGGAGAAAGCTATTAAAGTAAAGCTTCCTCATCGAATTCCTCTGCAGATTGAGTTTGAATGGCCGACTCCATATTTGGGAGATCTGGCTGACATTTGTAAATCCTTTGCTGTCGCAGTGGACGTGAAAGATGCCTTCCTTGACCTCGCAGTAGCACGGTTCGAAGCAGGGCTCGTCGATCTCCTCCGAGTCTTCCAGCAGTGGGATTGGGGTGCTCCATCCTAGGGCTATGGTGCTCAGCAAGGTAACCCACAGCATCCTCGCCGACACCAGGGGAGATGAAGTGTCGGCTCCAGCGAGAGAGCCACTTCACAGCACTGCAACAGAGGGGAGACACAGAGAGATAGTGGTGGGAAGTGCAAATAGACAGCCAAGATAGAGCAACAGATATATAGACAACCAATATTTGACTTGAAAGAGATTTCGGACTGCACGCTAATGAATAATGGAATGGCATTTGGGATGACTTCAAACCAACACTGATTGCTGTTCTAAGCCAAGTCTAAAAGAAAACAGGGGGTGGCTTGTATGGCAACACAAACAATTTCCACTCCCTTACTGTATATATAGGTGGAATTGCCATTTGTTATCCAGCTGATACGGTGCTACGGTTGCAATAAATCAACCCCCTCCTATCCCGAAAGAGATGCTTATCTCTATGAATAAATGAAGCCAACAGAAGGTGTGGGAGAGGTGAGGATAGGAGAGAGAAAGTGTCCCCCTTTAGCTATGTTTATTACATAACACAGACCTCAATCCCTCTTAAAAAGCATTGAACCAGCCAGGACCTGGGGTAAAGGGCTGAGGACAGGGATGGGATAAGATGGCAATGACGCAGAAGTCGCTCTGGTTACATTTAGACTGCGTTCAAACGCGCACAATAAAAGGTTAGATAGGAACTAAAACTGAACTAGACAAGGACTCATACTTGGGTAAAGGAGGACCAAAGACTGAACGCAGCGTTTGTCCTTTGGAGACGTCTTTAAATACTGTTTAATTCAATATATTTTAATTTACACAAGATAATCCAAGATGAAAAACACTTCAAAAGAGATCATTGTCTATTTTTTTTGATAAATTCCAAATAAACTATTCCTTGCTTTGGCCAGAACTCTAGAGTACAATTTGTAATCATTCTGGGTAAGCGTCTTGAAATGCATACAATCAATATCTGTTCAAAGCACTCACCTGGAAAAAAATAAAAAATAAACTGGGCTGTAATCCCACGCTCAAAAAAAATGTCAAAAGCAATCCACTGAGTATTCTGGCGCACCAGTTAATTATTTAAGCGGTGCGTTAAACAAAACATGGACAGCAGATCAATGGGATCGAGTGGATGCATTTAAGGTGACATTAGCGGCAGTCAGAGAATATGACATCAGCACAACTTCGGGCGTTTTTTCTTTTTATTTTTTGCTCTCTATGTTGGGAGCCGCAGCACACAATGGTAAGAGAGACGTTGCAGTGGAGGAGTTATTTGAACAATCCTTTTTGTTAATGGTTTGTGAATTAAACTCTACCTATGTAAATGTAAGTACAGTTAACTGTGATTTGGTATGATTTTCATTCCCATGTATATTGCTTTAGAGTTGTCTCTCCGTGTTTCACTTTAGCTGCATATCCAGGGAGAACAGCGTTTGGACCGTGCCGCTGTCCATGGTGCTGATTACGCCGTAAGTGGCAAAAAGCAAGAAAAAAATAAAATATAAAAACACGCATTGTAATCCATAAAAATGCGCCAAAAACCGATTCGTTGAGCATGTATGTATATTGTTTTAATAACGACAAAAAAGAGAGCTCTTCAGACATCCAGCCCGTGCGTAATCCCAGGATTTCCTCATGACGCTTCCATGGGTAAGATCAAAAGACGCCGGTGGGATGTTTAAAAAAGGGAAAAAAGGGAACCGGACATAAAAACCAATTAAAAAAACAGGGGAGCAAGGAACATCGGCTGCTGTGATATATCCCCATGAGTTGTTTGCATGTGCGTGAGAAGTGCTTGTATACGTACTTAGTTTAGCGGGAACTTCACATATCCTCCTACGGCCAGTCCTTCTGTCGTCGCACGGTGGATCCAGCTCCTGCGCTGAGCTGCCAGCACACACACAGAGAGATTGGACATTGTGGGTTAGAAACAGGCACTTGGAACACAGCAGTTGGAGAGACAAACCCGTGCGTAATGGAAGCCGCGTATATGACTATAATAAGCAAAGCAAAGCAGGGCAGGACTGGGTTTTTAATACATTTTGCCCAAGAATAACCTTGCAGTCTGGGGAGATACACGCCAAGCATAATGCAGCAGCCACCCGACGTGACATTGGCAGGGAAACAGCGAATATAACAGCTATTGATCAGGTCCGCGCGATGCATCTCTGAATGTCCTGCTTGTTTTTTTTCTTCTTCAAACACAGTCTTTGCAGTAAAGCTGATTAAAGACATAGAAGGCACAACACTTACCTCCTACCGCATTTGGAAACCATCGGGAAAATCTGAGTTTGAATCTTGTTAGATCTCTCTCCTCTTCTCCTCTCGCAGCGAAATGAAGACGTGATGGGAATGCGATCTCTGCCCCCTCCTCCTCCTCTTCCTCACTCACTCCTTTTTCTCTCTCTATCCCACGCCGCGTTCCTTAAAATGCAAGTGCTCGACTACTTGTGCCACCACCTCGCCTTTTTATCTTTCCTCTCCTGTCTCTCCTTCCAAACCGTGAAGCCGTCTAAAGCAGTGTCCGTTCGTTCTTGGTTTCTGGAGAGGGAGCGCGTAAACGTCGTCTTGATAGAATATGTTCTCAGTGGTTTTTCGTTTTCCCTGAATTCGCCAGCTCCCGTGCAGCCCTGCGTCACGAAGGTGGAGACGCGTTGGAATGAGAAAGGAGCGCTGCGCGGTGAGGAGTTGTGGATGGAAAGTGAACGAGCTCCCTGGAGATGAATTTTCCCGAAAAAAAAAGGAAAAAAAGTAGCAGACCTGTGGATGGTTGCCAGAAATGAGACCGCACTCTCCCGAATTACTGTTCAAACTTGTCGTGTCTCTCTGATGAGTGGTAAAGCGCAGTGGGTCTGTTTCCACGCGTTTGCAGAAAGCGATGACTGTCACCGTCAGAGCAGTGAGCAAGGGAGGCGGTGAGGAGAGACGGGAGGAGAGAGAGAGAAAGAGCGAGAGAGAGACGGACAGTATGCAAATTGAATTAAAGCTGGGGTACCTAACTTTTTTTTCTCATATATAATACATTGTGTTTGTCCCAACAGAAAGAGTACAGAAAGTAACATGCCGTGACCACAACATCCTCTCTTCATCTTATTAGAAAACATGTTTACATATATACTTTTAAGAAAGAAAGAGCCCTGTGAGTGGTCTCCTCTCTTCTCTCTGGAAGAACTGATCTATAGAACCAAATGCATGTGTGATAAGTGATAGGACCAAACTGTTTTAAAAGAGAGTTTTTCATTAAATTAATTTCAGTACATGGTTTAATTGGTTGAGGTATCCCAGCTTTAAAATCAATATACAGAATAAAGAATGAGCAATGAGTCAATCAATGTTCAATAAGATTATGCGACCAATTAGTAAGATGACTTTATTAAAAAAATTCTTATTGATTTCAGCACATATGGTACACTGTGTGTCTTAATGCCTGTGCCAGGACTATATACATGCAGTGATGTTGACTAGGGAGACATCAAACATTGTTGCTTTGGGTCTAACATTGATTGTCCAATTAAAAAGCAGAAGGAGCCACATTTGATTTGGGATGGCATGTACAGAAAGTCATGAACCACAGCCACTTCTTATAATAATAATAATAATAATAATAATAATAATAATAATAACAACAATAATAGTATGCAAGCTACATATGTATTTTTTAATGATTTGATGAGCATGTTTTTCTTTATTTGACTTACTACATGAAAATTCTACAGGATTATTGTAACCAGTTGAATTTGATGGTGTTTGGAGCAGAAATATACACCTCTACCGTCCTTCCTTCCTTCCTTCCTTCCTTCCCTGTGTCTGTGTGTGTGTGTGTGTGTGTGTGTGTGTGTGTGTGTGCGTGTGCGTGCTGCCTTCCCCCGCCTCGCCTCCAGCGGGCAACACAAGCCCGCGTTGTGGAGAGCGCACAAGCACGACTCTATATTCCCTCCACACAGAGAGACGACTCAGGGGCCGATTGCAGCGGCACGATAGTCACACCACATGTATGCAAAGTAACAGGATTGACGAAGGGGATTTCTGCCGGAATTCTGTCTGTGGTGTTGAGGCAGGAAGGCAGAGCAAATACAGATAGTGGGTTTTCCATATATACAAGACAAGACCAATGATGTCAACTGGTTTTGTTTGAGAAAAAAATATTGACAGCAGCCCAGTAAAACAGCAGCCCAGTATTCTTGTCCTTCCTAATCTATCATATACTAAACTTAAGTTCTGGAAATCAAATGGCAGAAAAGATAATATAACCTTTATTTTTTCCTCAGTGGGGAAATGCTGGTGTTAAAGCGCACATACAGGACAGAGTGAATAAAGAGCACACAAAACAACAAATGCTTCTTCAGCTTTAGCCTTTAAATCTAATTAAGTCATAATCTTTATCAGAAGTATAAACATAAAATACACAAGAAGACACAAATATATCGTAATAAAAGTGACTTATTTATGTAAACTAGAGATGAATTTGTCGAGCACAGATTTCCGCCTCAAGGCGCAGTTCCATTTCTTTGAAAAAAATCCAGACGGATTCCAAATGTATTGTGCATGTTTCCTGAAAATGTCAAAATGTTTCAAAATGTCAAATCCTTCTATACAAACAAACAAACACATGGCTGGGGGGCAGAGGTAACTGGCAGAATAAATAAACAAACATTCAGGCCATGACACGTACAAGGTTAAGCTCCCATAAAGAAGGCCCTTTAATAATGTTTCTAATTTAATTTTCTAATCTGATTTTAACGCTCAAATCAAAACAGTTGTACAATCTGGGTTGTTGACCCTTGTTTAATTTTGGTTCAGCTCTTTAGACACCCCTGCCTAAGTGCATAAAACCTTCTGAGAATGTTTGGCCCCTTTTAGGATTACCCGTTACTGTCACCGTCAGACTAATGGAATATAAAAATTGGCATGAATTGGAGCAATGTCAGCGTCAGAATATTTACAGCTCACATTCTGAAGGCCGCAGCACTAACTGACATTTAAATCCTGCTGGAAAAGGGAGTCGGTATTGATTGCAGCCCAGCGCATTGAATCTATCTGATTTTTCTAGAACC